TCAGTTCCAGCCACCTTGAACACGAGGCCTCAGAAACACAGGCACACTCCCACCTCAGACCCTCAGCCCTTGCTGTTCCCTCCAACTGGAATATTCTATCTTCAGCTATCTGCGTGGCTCCTTCGGCTCTTTATTCAAATATCAGCTTCTCACAAGGCCATCCCTGGCTATCCTTCCTCAAGGTGTAATAACTCCCACTCCAAAAAATCCCTTTTCCCTGATTTATTTTTCTCCCTAAAATGCATACTACACACTCCACGTTTTAATTATTCATATTTTTTATTTTCAAACTCCCTCACCAGAATGTAAGCTCCAGGAGAGCAGGCATCTGTTTGTTTACTACTAAACGCCCCCACGCAGTGCCTCCAATGTGGCAGGTGTTCAACAGATACTTCTAAATGTGTAGAAGGCTGAATTGATATCGTGCCATAAAGAGGAGGAGGAGGAGAAGCAGAAGGAGAAAGAGGAAGAAGAGGAGGAGGAGGAAGGGGAGAGAAAAGAAAAGAAAAAGAAAGGAAAAAAGGGATGATGACTGAGAAATGCAAGCTTCTAACAATATTGCAGCTGGGATACTCTTGGGTAGAAGTCTAGGGACTTTCCACCCAGTTTCCTCTTGACAATATGCTTAAAATACTTCTCCCAAACTCTAAAATTCAGAGTAACCCCAAAGAAAATACTATTTTAAAAAATCAGGTAGTCAAATATACAAACCACCTCAGATAGCTTTGCATCCTCCCTCTCTCCCCTATATAGACTCCAAGAGAGAACAGCTGAGTCTATTTTCCACCTGGGCCTTCAAATAAATCAATCACTGTATGCTCAACAGGTGTACCAAATGAGCAATTTCAGAATAAGGAGTGAAAGTATTATACTAAAGGAAAAAGATAGTGCTTGCCCCACAGAAACTTCTATTTATACCCTTCCTAAAGCAGCACCCAGCAGGCTCTCACTTAATGAAAAAGAGAACCCACTCTGTAACTGACATTAAGTGGGATAAGACTTCCAGTCCTGACCTGTCTCATTTTGCCACTAGCTTGAGTGTAAAACTCTCCCTCCAAACAGAATCGGCTGCACCTGGCCACACATAGCGAGCTCCTGAAGAGCAGCAGCGAGTGCCTTCCTTGTACAGGTGAATCTTAAACTCTCTGGGTTGTCAGGGCACTTTAAAACCATATCATCTTCTCTGCCCCCATGATTTTAGGGATGAGGAGGCTTGGCAAATGGCCCATCAACCTACAGGCCACACACCCCATTAGTGGCTGAGCCAGACCAAGAACCAAGGCTCACATCCTCCACCACGCCCGCTTCAGCCCCCACAGACAGCAATCACTTCCATGTAAAATGTTTAGTCTGTCAGAAAAGCATGTATTCAGACCCCGCAGAGATGAAGATCTGTTTTCTAGGACATGCCAGTTCCTATACTCCAGGAGAAACGAGGTCTACTGGGAGAATCCTGTGTTGTGCCAAGTATTAAGGCCTTCTCTATTCAGATGCTGTCCGAGGCGTGGAAATTACAGAACTGACTTTTGTGGGCCTGGGGTACTTCCTGGACACCACACCAAAGCTTTCTTCCTATCAGTATATTTCCCCAAAATGCATTTTTTTGTTTTTGTTTTTGTTTGTTTCAGAAGGTGTTAAAAGATATCCACAGTACAGGTGGCCTGAAGGGCCTCAGCAACTAGGCCAACAGAAATGTTTACTACTCCTAATTTGCTGTTACACAGTATTTATCTGCTTTCATGGTGTGCCAAGGATCTGCCAACATGTCACTGATTAATAAATAGTAATTAAGTCTTACCACCTTATTAAGAGATGAGGTTAGGTTTCAGGATTCCCTCTCAAAGGAAGCCACACTGCAGCCCACAGGTTAAGTACCAGGTTGGCCCTGAACCTGACTCAGAGATGTATCTGCTAATCCAGACCCAAATCACAAAGATGGTTTCCCCCCCTGCTGTCCTTTGCTTCCTCAGCCTATTGTTCCTCCCTCTTGGGTCAGCCTTCACTCTCATTTGTCACAACCCTCCAGCAAGGCCCCTCTGACCACATGGAGTAAACGGCTAGACCCTTAAGCTTCAATAATAAGTGTTCTGCTCTGCAAGGAAAGGTACCTGGGTCAGGCAGCCAATATCAAATGACAAAGCTTGGCAGAGTGCTCACCAGGCCTTTACGATGCTTTATTTGAAAAGCATTTCAACATCGCAAGCTGACAATCTGGGTCCTGGCAGGACTTTCCTGCCTTAGAATCTTAAAGGCACATGGTAAGACTACACTTTCAGGGATTATTTCTGTAGTTTGTTAAAGGCATATGGTGAAGGTGTAACAGTGACTGGGCCCACAGAGTGCCTTGGAAATGAACCCCAGTTGCAAACGTTGATGCCTTTGATTCATGCCAGGTTTCATTACTCCATATCCACACTGATGGCACCAGAAGTGACCTCGCTATTTAGACTCAGGATGTGGCCCAGGATGAAACAGGCACCCTGAACTTCAGACCACTTCTAGAGAGTCCAAGGAGACAATGGTGATAACCCAAAAGCTTTGACATATTACAGATTTATACAACAGGTTACCACACAATTATGTTTTCTTTACATTAACATTAAGATTAGCTTTCCAAAGACTAAAATTAAGTCACATTGTTATTAAACATTTGCCATTACATAATCCACAAAGTGGTTCAATCCCACGAGGATAATCATGACTTGTTCTGCCAAGATTCAAGTGTCAGCTCCACCACTTACTAACAAGCTCAGTTTGACAGGTCACTTTCTCTTGCCTGGTTTTCCCCTCTGCCAGTTGGGGGTGACAGTAAATACTTGTAAGGTTCTTACGAGAATAAAATGAGTTAATACATGTAAGCACTTAGAATGATGCCTGCCACTTAGTATTCATTTAATAAAGTCACCCACAATTACCATTATCATTATGTCATTGAATAAAAACATTTTTATCATTTTATTGAGTTTCATGCTTCTAGAACTTCTGCCAGCACTACAAGACCTCCGTGGGAAGCTCCTTTTCAAAGAATTCTTTTTAAGTCAGAAGGCAAATCTCTGGGACCCCAACACAGACCCACACCCAAGTTCATGGGGAATGTGACCAGAGTCCAGGAAGTTGTTCTGCAGGAAGGTGCGCTACAGTCTCTCCAGCACCAGGAGACAAACCCCATCCTTCCCAGAGGTGGAAACGGCCGCAGTCATTCCCAATCAGCTCCTGCGAAAGCAGAAGCCGCTCAGTGGAGCCACAGCTCACTGAGCCTCGGCAGCCTGCCACTGCGGAGGTGCAGCTTTGGGGCTCTTCTTGGGAGCAGCAGTCACTTAGGGGACGCTGCATCAGTCTGCCTGGTGGCTACAGGCGGAGGGAACAGTGTGAGGGGCTCAGGTGGGGACACACCATGCAAAGGGATGCATTCTCACATGAGGGGACTCTACTCTCTCCAGTCCCTCGATCCACTGTCACGTAATGGGTGCAGGGACCACAAGTAAGGGCATGCTTTTAGTTTCTCAGTAACCTGAGATCTCAGAATCACAACCCCAAACCCAAATAAACCTCAAGTAATTTTTTAAAGTTTTCTCCAAAATCGACTCCTTAACTGGCCGTGCTGAGAGGCAGCCTCAAACGACCCTCATGTGAACAGGCTAGGTCTTCTCCATTTTCACTGCAATAAAGATGGACTGTGTAGACCCTCAGGTGTCCTCCCTGAAGCAAAAACACACAAATTCTAGGAGACCCCATTCTCCACCTCAGCAAGTGTGCCCTCCCAGGAATCAGAGGCATGGCAGAGAGGGCCACCTGCACAACTTCGCTCTGGGGGACCCACTGCAAACATGGGGTCAGGGGTGGGAAAAATGACCAAACAACTGCAGTGGACCTTGGGTGTGAGGTAGAAGACAATGTGGGTTTGGATACAGGTTCTGGAAAAGCAAACAAAAAAAGACAAGTAAAGCAGGGGAAGGAAGGAAGGAAAGATGGAAGAGCAGGTTAATTTATCCTACAAAACACCTCCTTCTTCTCTTTCCAGCCTAATCAACACCTCCCAGAACCCCTGCAAAATGTCCAGTTCCTGTAGCATGTGTGTATGAATATATACTGATCAGCAGCAGATATTGATCACATGAGGGGAGAAAACACTTGAACTCCAGATGCACCAAGCAGTGCCTGATTTTCTTCCACTATGAGCCTCCCCAACTAGTCTGCTGCCCTCAAAACAAAACAAACAAAAACCAACTCCTGGGCAGAAAGGGAACAGCAGCTGATCGGAGCGGCACATGCTTGCTACATTCACGCCATCGACTTCCGATTATTCCTTTCTTGAGACGCAGCCACCAGCATCGGACTAAACACAGCCCTGGAAAGAAACCGCCTGCACAGCGACACTCGCAGACCTTCCCTCGGAGACGTGCACCCCGGCGTGCAGCTGAGCCTCCGTGAAACGGACACACGCTCAGGTGAGGCGCTGCCCACACGTGACCCTGCACACTGCGAAATTCTTCCCTTCCACAAACGCGTGGCCATCCAAAGTCTTGCCTACACCTAATACGTACAGATGTCAATTCTGTAAGAATACACGATGAAAAGACAGAAATGGAAATGACCGAAGCCCGATTTTCTCATGACCACGTCTCTGGTTGACACGGTGCGCCCCTACACACGGTGAGTAAACGCGCACAGCCAGTAAACAGAAAATACACCATCTCAGGCCACAGTCACGCGTGGGTAGAAAGAAGTCGAGAGGGCGGCGGTGTCAGGGGAAGTGTTGAGTCGCCTGCCAGCGGGGACTGTCCTCGCAAAGCGCAGAGCTCCGGTCCCAGGAGCCGTGCCCACCCGCGCCGGGGGCGCGGACCCACGCGTTGGGCGCGCTCCGCAGAGCTGAGAATCACAATGAGAACGTGGCGACCGGCGGTTCCTGCGGCGGTGGCGGCCGCGGTGGTGACATCGGAGCCGCCTAAGCACCCGTGGCCGCGGCCCCCTCCACCCTCTTCTCCCTGGTCCCCACTTACGTTCCGAGGGTCTCCTTGAACTCAAAAATCTTCTTGATGTCCTCCGCTTGCTTTTTCCAGGAGGAGCTGCTCTCGCAATTCTCCCGGGCCATGGCAGACGAGGGGCGGCGTGCGCGGCGAGCGGAGAGGCGGCGCGGCCGGGCTCGTGGGGCCGGGGCGGGCGCGCTGAGGAGGGGGCGCCGGGCGGCGGGGGCGCAGGGGCGGCGGCGCGGGCGCAGGGGTGTCCCGGAGGGCCGGGCCGGCGGCGCGGGGATGCTCGGCGCGGAGCCGGAGGAGACTTGCTGCAGCGGCAGAGCTTCCTCTTCTGCAGTTTCCTCTTTCACTCTCGCCGCCGCGGTCCCTCCCTGGCTCGTATTTCTGCTCGCCTCTGACACAGACTTCCTGCCGCCGCCGCCGCCGCTCGCCCGGCTGTGCCGCGGGTTGCCAACCTCACTTTCTGCTACTTTCTTGCCTCCCTTCTCCGCCTCCCCGCCGCCCGCCTGCTCCGTCCTCCTCCTCCGCCTCCGGCGGGTTCCCCGCCTCCCCGTACGCCCAGGCCACCCCCCGCCCCGCCAACCCCACGCCTCCCCGCCTCCCGCGCGCTGCGCCTTCGGGGAGGTCCTGAGCCCCGAGCGCGCTGGCACTGCCCTCAGCCGCCCGGCCACCCTCCTGGGCGCCGCGTGCGCCCTGGAGCCTGAGAGAGGACAAGTGTGGGGACCCGAGCAGGTGCCGTGCTCCGGGGCGCGTGCGGGAGGAGCCCAGTTCCCCGGGTGCTTTATTAATTCTGCAAAGTCAAGTCTCAGGGGCGCGAGGGCTTTCCTCCCCGGTGGCGGACGGGGGCGCCTCTGCGTCGTGCTCGGCGACAGCAGGGCTGGACCCGGCGGGAACCGGGGCCGAGGCCGCCAGGATGCTAGGCGCCCTCTCTACGTCCCGAACACTGGCCGACACAATCGCAGCCCCACGGATCGCCAGCGGCGCCGGCCTGGTGGGCCAGGGCCGGTTGTTATGGGGACCGAGGTGGCTGCCTGGTGCTAGCGAAGGTGGGCGTTGACTCCGCTCCGCCGCGCCGGGCGCTCCGGGAGCCTGTCAGTCCCTCGCGACTGGGCGACTGGAGCTAATTCGCATTGCACCAAAATCGACACCGGCGTCCTTATTGTGGCCGGGGGAGGGGGCCCTGGTGGCGACGAGAAAGCGTGGGAGCCTCGGGACCGCGGACGCGCAGGACGTGCGGGGAGCTGCCTGGTTTTCCTTTGGAGAGCAAAACTCCCAGCATTATTTGGCTGCTGGGCGGCGGGTGGATTCGGCGTTGGCCTGGCGCTTGCTTCGTGGGCCTCTCGGGCTGCCCCGGCTCTCCTTCCTGCTTGGTCCCTCCCCGTTTCTCCCTTCCTTCTCTGCAGCCTCGCAAACCCAGACTTAGTGGAAAATGAATGTCCGCCCCCTCCTTACCCCCACCCGGCTTGGTGGGGTACCCAGGTGGCAGGACATGTAGCAGGAAACATCCTTTCTTGCGGTCTGGGGAAACAAGCCCAGAGTTCTCTCTGGCCTCCTCCTCAGAGGTGCACTTGGCCCACCTCCCTCCCATGTCCACCTGTCAGAGGCCACCCAGGTGCGGATCCCCCGGCTCCAACCTGCCGGGACTGCCTCCCGTTTCAGAAAATTATAGTTTTCCTTTTTACAAGACTGTCACTCCCTTGGGGCCGCAGGCTGGGTTGGGTAAACAGCCCTGACTCTTCATTGTAGGCACCTGTCCCATTTTCCCAGTAATGTTCCAATTTCGCTGTAAAAGCTGGGGGGGGGGGGGCAGTGGAATCTGGTTCCCGTAAAGGAGACTACATCCAGCACCTTCTGCCTGGCTCCGACAAGCTGCCTGCAGGCTAACTGCTCTCCGGGAAGCAGTCTGGGCGCACCAGTCCCCCAATCCCTTCCCCGACCCCAAGGAGGTCAGAAGATAAGCTGGCCACCCCATCCTTCCACACCTCCATGCTGGTTTGTCTTTCAGAGGCTGTTAGCTTAAGGCTCTTCAGGCTGAGGAAAGCAAATAGGGGATTACTAGCCTGTTAGATACAGGAACTGCGTTGGCAAATCCAACTTCTCAGAGGACACTGAGGAACCTCTCTCTCAAAGTCAGGACACATCGCCCAAATCCAACGCTAACAGCACCTCCCTCGATAAGAAATAGACTTGAAGAACTACAATATCTTTCATTTGGGTTGAAGGTTAGGTGTGAAGTGTAGGAACAAGGCATAACTGAGGTCCCAGTTGCCCGCCTATGCCCCCCATAAGCTTCTTGTATTTTTTTCTCCTTCCCTTCTCCTCACTTCTCTTCCTTCTTATTCAGTTCTTTCCTCTTTATTTCCCCCTTGCCTCTTTTGTGTTAAATATATGTTGTTGATCATGCTTTTACAATTGTCCCAATATTTTTCCCTTTGCTCCGTCCACCCAGTGCCCCCCCTTCTCTCCAGCAATTCCCCCTTAGTTCATGTCCATGGGTCGTGTAAGTTCTTTGGCTTCTCTGTCTCTTATACTGTTCTAACTTCCCCCTGTCTATTCTGTTCCCACCAATTTTGCTTCTTGGTCCCTACAGCAGTTTTCCCTTTCTCTCCCATTCCACTCCCAGCTGATAACCCTCCAAATGATCTACATAGCAATGATTCTGTTCCTGTTCTGGTTGTTTGCTTAGTTTTTGTTTTAATTTTTTAGATTCAGTTGCTGATAGTTGTGAGTTTGTTGACATTTTAACGTTCATAGTTTTTATCTTCTTTTTTCTTAAGTAAGTCCCTTTAACATTTCATGTAATAATGGTTTGGTGATGATGAATTCCTTTATCTTTACCTTGTCTAGGAAGCACTTTATCTACCCTTCCGTTCTAAATGAGAACTTTGCTAGATAGAGTAATTTTGGTTGTAGGTCCTTGCTTTTCATCACTTTAAATACTTCTTGCCAGCCCCTTCTTGCCTGCAAAGTTTCTGTTCAGAAATCAAAGCTGACAGTCTTATGAGGACTCCTTTGTAGGTAACTCTCTGCTTTTAAGATTCTCTCTTTGTCTTTAACCCTTGGTGATTTCATTATGATGTACCTTGGTGTGTGTGGTCCTCTTTGGGTCCAACTTGATATGGACTCTCTGTGCTTCCTGGACTTCAGTTTCTATTTCCTTCACCAAATTAGGGAAGCTTTCTTTCATTATTTAAAATAGATATCTAATTTCTTGTTCTTTCTCTTCTCCTTCTGGCACCCCTATGGTGTGAATGTTGGACCTCTTAAAATTATCCCAGAGGCTGCTTATACAACCCCCTTTTTTTTTATTCTTTTTTCTTCCCTTTGTTCTGATTGGTTGTTTTTTGTTTCCTTATGTTCCAAATCATGGATTTGATTCTCAGCTTCATCCAGTCTACTGTTGTTTTCCTGTAAATTGTTCTTTATTTCAATTAATGTATCCTTTGTTTCTGACTGGATCTTTTTCATGCTGTTGAGGTCCTCACTAAGTTCCTTGAGCATCCTTATAACCGGTGTTTTGAACTCTACATCTAACAGATTGCTTATCTCCATTTTTTTTTTTTTAGTTCTTTTCCTGGAGCTTTGATCTGTGCTTTTATTTGTGCTATCTTTCTTTGTCTCCCCATCTTGGCAGCCTCTCTGTGTGTATTTCTGTGTATTAAGTAGAGTTATTTTGATTCCGTGTATTGGTAATGTGGCCCAATGTAGTAGGTGTCCTATAGGATCCAGTGGCACAGCCTCCTCTATCACACAAGGCGGGTACTCAAGGTACATTCTTCATGTGGGCTGAGTATACCCTCCTCTTATAGTTGAGACTTGGTTGCTGTTGGCAGATCAATGGGAGGGATTTACCCAGGTCGTTTAGCTGTTAAGGACTGGCTGTGATCACATACCATCAACCTTCAAGTTCTGTGGAGGATCAGCTGTGCAGGGGCAGGGTGGTGGTGCTCCAAATTGGTCTGTAGCTGTCCACTGGCCCTAGGGTCTCTTGGGTGGTACAGACCATGGTCGGCCCCCACCTGTGTTTCCCCTGGGGCCATCCTTCCTGAGCAAAGGCTTCTACTTGTGCTGGGCTTGGAGATGCCAGGCAAAGCCAAGCTGTGAAACCAATCTGGCTGCTGCTGGTGCTGTGCCAGGAGCATTGGGGCCAGCAGTAGCTTGTTCGATGGGATTTAGAAAGTTGTGGAGCTTGAGCCAAGACAAGTTATTCATTTGGGAAGCAGCTTGGTTGGGCTCATAAGTTGGGTTGGAGCAGATTCTCTGAGGACCTCCAAGGCAGATCACAAACTGTTAGGCAGGATGATGGAGTCTCAAATATGGCACTAGGCTGCCAGTTTCAAGGCTCTACAGTGGGAGCACTCAGAAAAGGAACGATGTCCTCTGCTTGCCCCGATGGCAGACACTTCAGCCTCTCCCTGTGTGCTGCTGGTGCCTTCACACTGTCACTCTGGCACCGGAGCTCAGAGGGAGTGAGTCTGGGTAGGTGAGTCCACACGTGGGTTCTTTAAGAGGAACAGCTTGGAGCTCCAGAAATATCTTCCACCAACTCAGTCTCTACTGGTTTTTGAAGCCAGAAGTTGTAGGGATTTGTCTTCCTGCCCCTGGAATCCTGGACTCTGGGGCCTGGTGTGGGGCTGGGACACCTTGGTCCCGAGATAGTCCTCCCGAATTTGCACCCAGCACACATGGGTCAGTGACCAGCCCAACCCCTCCTACCAGTCTGGGCGGATGTGGTTTCTTCAATTCCGTAGTCATCAGATTTCATTCAGGTTGGTTTCTGGCGGTTCTGAGTGATGGCTGCTCTATATTTCAGTTGTAATTTTGATGTGGTTGTGTGAAGAGGTGAGCCATGTCTGTCTACACTGCCATCTCCCCCAACCCTTACTTCTTACCTACAGATCCGTGATGTTCAGAACTTGTAAATAAATCAGTGTTGTTTTTAACATGATGGACAGCTTATCCAGAATATCATTAATCTTTGAAAACTTTAGGAATCTTTGGCCCAAAAATATTGGTCAAAAATATTTTATTAGATGGCCTCATATAGATACACCCTACAGCAGGGGTGTCAAAGTCATTTTCACCAGAGATCACATCAGCCTCACGGTTGCCTTCAAAGAGCCGAATGTAATGTTAGGACTGTCTAAATGTAACTACTTCTTAACTGTTACGTGAGAGCTCGGCTCTGCTGCCCCCGGGTAGCAACAAGGTGCCAGGATGGATAAAACAAGGTGGAGGCCAGATTCAGCCCACAGGCCTTGTGCTTGCCACTTGTGCCCTATGTGAAAATTTTGTTTAAATCTCAACAAGAATTATTGCCTGGAGAACATTCCCATATTAAAAGTTTCCCACCAAACATATTGTTTGACAACACTTTGATGTTAGAGGCCTCTTCCCACAAATGCTACAAAATTTTTGGCATCTTAAATCATGTACCTATTTCTTAGAAATAGTTCAAAGAGAGTGACTTGAGCATATTTCCTAAATACTGATGATTGCATAAGTCATTGACAGTGTACACTATAATAACACCTAGGAAAAGCATAG